GACCTCCAGCAGCGTGAGAGCCAGCCCCAGAGGCCCATCCTAGCTGGGAGACGGGGGTTTGGCTCCAGGAGGGAGGCGGTTCTGTTGGCAATGGTTGGTGCACTTTCCCTGGGGGGTAGACTCCCACACAGCCAGTCAAGGGAGCCAGTGCTATTTTCCTAAATAGCAGGGCCAAAAACAAACAACCAAACAAGCACCCTGGTCTAGGTGCTAACACTGACCCGGTCACTCTGTTTGCATGCAGTTCGAAGGACAGCTTCAGGCAGCCCACAGAGGAAGGGAGACAGGGTCGGCTAGCGAGGCTTCCCAGGCAACCACAGAACCCCGGGAAACCGGAAGCTCGGCGAGGGTCAGTCTCTACTTCTTCCTTCACAACATCCCAGCTAGAAACAGCGGTGATGGTTCAAGTGGCTGGAACCCTGCCTCCCACGTGGGAGACCCGCGTCGAGTTTCCTGCCCCTGGCCTTGACCTTGCCCGGGTTGTAGGCATTCGAGGAGTGAATCAGTGCAGGGCTGATTTCTCTGTGTCAGTCTGTCTCTCCTCTCCAGATCAAACAACTTCCTTCTTAAAAGTTAATTTTGGTGCAAAAAAAAAAATAGTTTGAAATCCTTGTGTGAAGGAGTCTTTAAAAAGTTTATGAAAATGTGTGTGATGGACATACTATACACGGATTTCAAAATTATTTTCCACCCATAGAAAAAAAAGTTTAAAGTATATTTTCCTGTGAAGTTTGTGAAGTCCCCTTGTATTAGAAAGCCTGACTCCCAGGCACAGGGAGGAGCTAGGGTGCTCAGGTGCACACGGGGTGCTCCTGGCCTAGGTAACCCCACCTCCACCCCACCCGGCTGCTTTAGGGTCTGAGACCTCGTAGACTCCGGCTTGTGATGCACTCTCTGCTTTGTGCTTCTGCCTCTGGTCCCTAAGCTCACGTCTGAGTACAGTCCTACTTTTACATTTATATATTTAAGATATAGTTGAGGCCGGCGCCGTGGCTCACTAGGCTAATCCTCTACCTTGCTGTGCCGGCACACCGGGTTCTAGTCCCGGTAGGGGCGCCGGATGCTGTCCCGGTTGCCCCTCTTCCAGGCCAGCTCTCTGCTGTGGCCCGGGAGTGCAGTGGAGGATGGCCCAAGTGCTTGGGCCCTGCACCCCATGGGAGACCAGGAGAAGCACCTGGCTCCTGGCTCCTGCCATCGGATCAGCGCGGTGCGCCGGCCACAGCGTGCCGTCCGCGGCGGCCATTGGAGGGTGAACCAACGGCAAAGGAAGACCTTTCTCTCTGTCTCTCTCTCTCACTGTCCATTCTGCCTATCAAAAAAAAAAAAAAAAAAAAGATATAGTTGAACACGTAAAATGCTGACTGCACATTTTGCTGTCGTGTTTAGAACGAGGGGAGAAATTCCAGCCCCCACCAAGACCACGAGTCCACAGAGGTGGGATTTCCCAGCGCCCTGCACCCGGGTTTTCAGCTTGTTTCAGCCAAGAGGTGCACAGCGCGTGGTTAGATCTTGCTGCGGCTGCCATGATTTGCTTCCTGCATTTCCAGGTGTGTCGCTTGCTCCAACAAACAATAGTGCCTTGGCAAGGGTTCGGCTGGCCGACCACTGCCAGAGAAGCATCCATTGGGTGGCCCCCTAAGGTGGTTGCTCCAGACATTCGTCTTAAAACTTGCTATTTCAGGAAGCTGCCTCGGCTCCTCCGTTTTTTGCTGTAGTCCATCAATTCCACAAATTGGCCAGGCGCTACTTGGGCGCAATTGTTAGGGTCAGGAGCGGGAGGAACAGAACACCAGGTGTTACACTGAAAAGGGTGGCAGACGTCGCCGCTTCAGTCATGTCCTTTAAGAGGGCGGAAAATAGCTGTTCACAGTTAACGCCAGAAGTGCTCGTTAAACCGATTTTCTGTTGGGAATGATTCCTCGAAATGTCGCAGGCTATCAAGTAGCTAAAATTCTATCAGGATTATGATACCCGCTGAGTTACAAGTTATAAGAGATGATACTGGAGATAAAGGCTTTGCGGGCAAATTAAAATAGTAATAATTTCGGTTAATGTAATGATATCTTTTTTTTAATCCTTTAATATCGCTCAGCCAAAATTACATATTTGGAAAAAAATGAGCCACTAAAGAAGATTTCCTAATTGTATGTAATGCGCCTGAAGGCATATTGCAGATGTAATTCAGATCTTGGACACGGAGGAAGACGGCTCTGATGATGATATTGTGCAACAGAGCTACATTTTAGTCACAAACAGTCATTATGTGAAATTGCTTTCCAGAGGAAGGAGCCCAGGAATCTGTGACAGCTCCCACAGTAAGCTGTGCAATCCCGGCTACACCCCGGGGGCTGTGCTCCTGGGAGGCACAGCCGTCCCTGTAGGCCCCGGACCTTCCAGATCCATCGCTGACCTCTCGGAAGTGACGCCCCTCGTTTTCCAGAAATGCCGTGGAGACTTTCTGTCCAGTTGGCTGATGCCAGTGCTGGCTTCTCTCCACCCGGCACGCCGGCTCACCCCCATCTCGTCACTCACCACCAAGATCGAGGGGGCATTTTGCAAGCACGAATCCTTCCGACTGTTTACAAGTAGGGGCAACTGTTTTCAGAAGTTGGGTTTTTAAAAAGTTGCATGCGGTTGAGCTACGACTAAGCACATGGCCACAGGATCCTGCAGAGAATTTCATAAAGGCGCCCTGGTGGCCTTGACAAGTGACAGACAGCCGCGTCCCTGGCTTCTTTGCCTGCCTCTGCAGTCTCCAAGGTCAGACGCACCCACCTCCCCCATGTTTTCATCTCAGTGCGTGGGCTCCACCTTCTCCCCAGCCTCTGGCCTCAGGGTGCTGCCTCCCCCCTCCAACAAGCTTGAGTCCTCTCCCTCCCCCGACGCTGAGCTAAGTCCAGTCCCCTGGAGTGGCCGGACCACAGATTCCCCTACTGCTCCGGTTGGCTTCTGGGGCAGTCACAGCTTCCAAATAGGCTTGTTGGCTGGGGAGTGGGTCTCACCGGCCAGCCTCCTCGCATGGCTGCTGGCCGCTCCCGCCTGCCTCCCAAGGGCTTGGGGCCAGCCTCACCATTACTTCTGCTGAATCAGCCCCTCCCAGAAGTGCAGCCTCCAGCCTGAGGCTCCCATCTGGCCAGGGCTGTCTCTGGATTTAATTCATCCCAGCGGGAGCCCAGAGCTGGAGAGCGAACAGGACAGAAGAATTGCTTCCCCGGCCCCAGTCGAAAGTCGCGCCAACTGTTCAGACGCTCAGTGTTGAGAACGAGCTCCAGTCCTTCCAGAACATGGACACGAAGGCGGATTCCTGATCAGGCTTCGAGGCAGGGCTCCCTCAGGGCCCAGGCCAGACGAGCAGCCTCTGTGAGCTGGGAGGCCCCAGCTGCTGCTTGCTTCCTGGACTGGCCTGGCTTCCAGGGGGAGACGGCAGGCACAACCAGCATGGGTGAGGAGTCACGGTCAAGTTAGGCTTCTCAGATGTCAGAGTGATAGTAGACCTGGAGATGAATTAGGGGAAGCTGGGGTGGCTCCGGACTATTCCTGTGTGACCCCTCACTTCACGACACAGACACCTGTCGGCCACCGCCTGCCAGAGGGTGCCCAGGAGAGAGACGCTGGTGTAATCCCCCCACCCGTCGCAGGAGAAAGGGCAGGTGCACGGGTCTGTGTGACCCGGGTAATTTTCGTCCATCTCACTGCGTGGTGGGGGAGGGAAGGGAAGGCAGACATCTGGGGTCATGCGAAGCCCCTGGGGGGATACTGAGGCTCCAGGCTTTCGATCCTTAGTTCTCCAGTTTTTCCTCTGCAGAGAGGGTCAATAAAACCCGGTTTTGTTGGGAGGGGTGAATCAGACAAAGGACTTTCGGGATCTCAGCAAAGAGGTCTCCATATGGGTTTTTAAATGTCTGGTGCATAGCAGACACAGTGCCAGGCCCTGCACTAGCTACTGGGGTTGAAAATGAAGACCCTGCCCAGTAAGAGGGGAACACAGCCTGGAAGGTTCTCCCTGCACTGTTACCATCACACCCTGTGCTAGATGTCTCCTTCCCCGCTGTCTTCCTGCAGAACAGTAGTGCTGGGGAGACACAGTGGAGCTGACGAGAAAGGAGGACCCCACTCACCTCCTGCACCACTTTCGCTCTCTTTAAAATTCACAGATGAAGTCCACACACTGTGAGTTGATCATTGTCTCAGCTTTCATGAAATGCTGAGGAACCGATGACGTGGCATAGCGGGTAAAGCTGCCGCCTGCAGTGCCAGCATCCCATATGGGTGCCAGTTAGAGTCTGGGCTGCTCCACTTCCAATCCAGCTCTCTGCTAATGCGCCTGGGAAGGCAGCGGAGGACAGCCCAAGTGCTCCCACCACGTGGGAGACCTGGAAGAAGCTCCTGGCTCCTGGCTTCTGTCTGGCCCAGCTCCAGCCATTGGCAGCCATCTGGGGAGTGAGTCAGCAGATGGAAGATCTCTCTCTCTCTCTCTCTCTCTCTCTCTCTCTTTTTCTCTGACTCTGCCTTTCAAATAAGGAAATCTTAAAAAAAAAAATGCTGGGAAGGGAAGGGAGCCAGCCTGCTCAGGGTGTGTGTGCAGTGGAGAAGATGCTACTTTGAGATGCTAGAGTGACACCCGCTAGAAACGCAAGTTCCCAGATTTTAGAACTGAGAAAGTCCAGAATGTTCTCTGAAGCCTCCCTACCTCTAATTCACTGCACAACTTATTAGTATTTGGATCCCTTCCCTGAACAGTGAGCAAGAGAGGTCATTTTTTATTCTTTTTTTCAATAACTCAGTGCACACAGGAAGGTTCCTCTGTGTTCTCACCCATGTGGCCTCCCGCAGTGGCCTTTAATTTGAAAGAAAATGAAAAATTATCATAGAAATGCACCAAAAAAATGGTAATGCAGAGTGAGCAGAGCTGTTTTGTTTCTGCTAGTGGTGCAATATTTTCTCACGGTCATGCTCTTGAAACACGAATCTGTGATAGTTTAAGAGCTGAATACATAATTTAATACTGCCCAAGGCCAGCATTAGCCAAAGCAGATGTTTGTGGGGGACACATGTCCTCATTGGAGGGCTGCGCTGCCCTAATTCGGTCCAGTTCCCTGGGCTTCACTCTCGGGGGGCTCCGCTCAGGCGCCCTGGTGCAGGGGTGGAAATAAGCCTTAAAGGGGCAGCACCGGGGCGTCCTGCAGGCTCACCTGCCTCTGCTGCCGTGGACACGGCCTTGAGGTCACAGGTCCTCTGCCGCCCGACCCTGGCAAGATCCCAACCCAAGGGTTCAACATCGTCAGGGACAGGACACTTCCAGAGGTGCCCACTGCTTGGCGGCAGCACAAGTCCCACAGGGAGGCGCTCTGGGGTGGGGGCTGAGAGCGTGGCCCCGCTGTGCCGTCCCAGGGCCGTGGGACCCCAGCTCTGACCCCAGCTCTGGCCGCCCCGGCTGGACGAGCTCATGCCCCAGAATTTAGCTGCTCTGGGTGTTTTCCAAAAACGTTTCCCTCACGGGGCTGTTCTGGGGATCCAATGAGACAATGCATAGAAAACCCTTAACACAGCGTCCAGCATAACCTCGGGGCCGAGTAAGTGGAGGCCACCACTGTAATTTAATCTTCTACAAAATAATTTATCTTCTTATTAATATGAAGAGAACAGATTCCTGTAGTTTACAGATACAATTCTAAGAATACAATGATACTTCCTCCCTCCTTTTTCTGGTTTTTAATTTTTGCGCAAATATATTTTGGGTGAACTTGATAGTCACAGGTTGATCTCTGCTAAGTAAAAGCTTCAACAGGTCAGGAGCAGAAAGACCCCCGGTCAGCAGGAGCACAGACCAGAGCCAGAGGCAGTAGTCAAATCCCAAGGTGTCCATTTCACTCCTACACAGTAGATGATTTTGTGTGTGCTCTCTAGCTCGCTACCACAAATCTGAGAAGTCAGGTGATGTTTGGAGTTCTGGTGTCACTCCCTCGGGAGTCAGTGTGTGCTCTGGGGTCTCCCTCCCCGGACTCTGGATCTGCCATCTGGAAGCAGCCGGCTCGGCGGGCGGCCTCACCCCTCCTCCACGTGGCCAGCTGATACCTGGGGAGAGCCGTGTTTCCCGTTCTGTTCCCTCCAGCCTCTGGAGTCTGTGGCCGTCGCCCTTGTACCCTCCTGCTTGCTGGGTCCTCTTGGCCTGGCCTCGTTCCCCTCGCCTGGGTAAGGCCAGCTTGTTCTTCAAGCTTCGGTGGAGCCCGCCCCCTGGCCTGGAAGCCTCCCCGGACCCCCGAGGCCCCCACCGTTCTCCTGCTGAATGGGACGGAAACTGGGTCAGCACAGCCTCTCGCTAAATCCCCAGAGCTTCCCATGGGTCTCGCCCACGCCGGGTGCTCCGTAAACACTGACTGGGTCCACAGGGAGGCCGGTGTTCATGGACATCAGCCTATCGGTCAAGGTGCGTCTTTGCAGGCCGCAGAGGGGTTGCCACCGACAGGTGTGATTGCGCAGTCTCAGCCGGTGAGGGGTCAGAGAAGAGTCACTGAGGCTTCCCCGAAACGTGAGAGGAGTCACCGGCAAGCTTCGTTGGTGGCGGTGACCCGGTGCACCTGCCTGGCGCTGGCCCTGTTTTCCAGGCGGTGAGTACACAGGGGCCGCCGTCAAGCAGACCTCAGACAAGCCCCTCTCCGACACTGAGCCCAGGCAGGGGCCTGCCACTCCCGGTCCTTTCCCTCCTGCCAAACACAGAGGTCACTCTGAAGAACTCGCTCAGGGTCAGGTCTTTCTTTCTGGACTCTGCATTCTACCACAGGGGAGCAGGGCCCTTTCTCACCTGGGTCAGCGGCGTGCACAGGCTGTGGGCTTTGGGAAAAAGCGGTAGTAAATTGAACTTCTGAAAACTATATCTAATGCCACCACATTTTGCACTCATGATTCCTAATTTTACTCTTTTCATGATTTTTAAAATAAAGCTGTTAATCGTCATTTCAGGGAATGTACGCTGGTAGCTGTATGGAAAGGGTTTTCAAAAAGGATGGAGAGTGAACGTCATCTTTTAGTTCCATTTTCCAGGACTTTTTCATGTTTCTGGCAATGTTTACAGCAAATGGACAGGAGTCTGCGGTGAGGCCCCGTGAGTAGCCCAGATCTCTCCACTGGAACAATTCACGTCCGGGAGACGGCAGGTCGGCAGGTGGCTCTTACCTGAAGCAGGATTCCGTCCACTGGCACTGGCTGCGGGCTGCCGGCGTGCACCCCTGGGCAGGCGGAGGCTGAATTTCCAGCCCCAACCCCAGCGGGGCCCCGGAGCTCGGGGCTCGGCTTGGCAGCATGGCCGGTGGGCCTCCTGCACTCCTCAGTGACTCTGGCCAGGGCGAAGGGGCTGGAGGTGGCGATGCCGGAATCAATTCCAGGCTCCCCAGGGACAGGATGCGGCTCTCGGAGCAGGCACCCGATTGAGGGGAATCGGCCACCCTTGCACAGCGTTGGTGGTCCGCTGTCCCCAGCCACCTGAGCATCCTGGCAAACACCTCATTCCTCACGAGCTGCACAGAACGTGAGATCTGTACCAGGTTCTGTCGCAGCCTTGCTCCTGCAGCCGCCTATCAGGCTGTGCGGATGCGTTCTAAAGCCGAGACGCGTGTCGAGTTCCCAGCCCTCGTGTGTTTGTCTTTCCACGGATGCGGCAATGCTTTCTTTGCCTTTACCGTTTGTCTCCCTTCATCTGGCAGAGACCAAGCTTTCCCGGCACCCACGCAGACGTTAATATCGGGGCCTTTGTTTAGCTGCGGCCAACAGCTCTCGCCGGCCCTCCGAGCAGCTGGGGAACTGTCGCCAGACAACCCCGTCCCTAACCAAGAGCACGAATCTGACCTTCACAGGGTGTCTTTATCCCGCACCCTGCTGGTGACGCCCGGGCACGGGGCTTTCTCCTCTGCTGGTTCCCGGCTGCCAGAGGTTTTCTCCCGGGAACAAAGCGACCGTTCCGTCACCACGGAGCTCCATTATTGTTTCACCTAGCGCAGCCCGAGGAAATCGTTTTGAAGCTGAAAACACAAAACAGTGCATTTCTACCACAAACTTCCCACCAAAGCAGAAACTGGACTTCCTAAGTGGAACCAGATCTCCAGTCCATTCATTGTCCAGCAGAAAACCACACAGCTTTTAGCTTTGATGGCCTGCTAGGCTGGCGGCCAGTACAAGTTCCCCAGAACACTTCCCCGGTCCCAGCTGGCCCTCTCAGCCTGGTTCTTTTGCAAGCAAGGACAGGAGCGACTGGAAAGGCACCAACAATGGCTGGGCCAGCTGAAGCCAGGAGCCAGGAACTCCATCCGGTCCCCTGGATACGTGTGCAGGGCCCTGGGCCATCTTCCACCACAGGGTTCCAGGCACTTGGGCCGTCTTCTGCTGCTTTGTCCAGGCCGTTAGCAGGGAGCTGGATTGGAAGTGGAGCAGTTGAGACCTGAACCTCGTCACTTACATGGATTGGTGGAGTTTCCGTCTGCTTTTTTCTTTGCGGATCTGGGGTTGGTGTTAATGTCTCACACCCCAGTGCTGGAGCTGGTCCTGAACCCGCCCCTAGTTCTTCTGAGGTGCCTGTAAGCCACACACATCAGTGTGGCTGCGACGGCAGACCAGTGGCCACTGTGACAGATTTGAGCAAACCGGAGCCTGTGGCTGGAATGTTCTCACATTAAGTTCCTAGGGCCCGGTGAGCTTTCCTCCTAGCCACACTGTGATTGTAGAAACGTAAGAGGGGCTGGCGCTGTGGTGTAGCGGGTAAAGCTGCCACCTGCAGTGCTGGCATCGCATATGAGCACCGGTTCGAGTCCCGGCTGCTCTACTTCCGATCCAGCTCTCTGTTGGTTCACTCCCTAAATGGCCGCAATGGCTGGAGCTGGGTCAATCCAGAGCAAGGAGCCAGGAGCTCCTTCCGGGTCTCCCACGCAGGTGCAGGGGCCCAAGCACTTGGGCCATCTTCCACTGCTTTCCCAGGCTGTAGCTGAGAGCTGGATGGGAAGAAGAGCAGCCGGGACAGGAACCAGTGCCACATGGATGCCAGCACCATGCAGACGGAGGCTTAGCCCACTACGCCACAGCGCCGCCCCCCCCCCTTCTTGTGTTTATGTAGAACACCCCTGTTTGTAGAACACACAACACACACTAAATACTCACGTTAGCAGCTTTCTCTGAAATGGTTCCTGGGGTTATTTGTACCACACTTGCAATTTTCCTGTAAGTTCAAGATTATTTTTCTTTTTCTTTTCTTTTCTTTTTCTTTTTCTTTTTTTTTTCTTTTTTTTTTTTTTTGACAGGCAGGGTGGACAGTGAGAGAGAGAGACACACACACAGAGAAAGGTCTTCCTTTTGCCATTGGTTCACCCTCCAATGGCCGCCGCAGCCGGTGCATTGCGGCCAGCACATTGCGTTGATCCGAAGCCAGGAGCCAGGTGCTTCTCCTGGTCTCCCATGGGGTGCAGGGCCCAAGCACTTGGGCCATCCTCCACTGCACTCCCTGGCCACAGCAGAGAGCTGGACAGGAAGAGGAGCAACTGGGACAGAATCTGCCGCCCCTACCAGGACTAGAACCCGGTGTGCCAGCACCGCAGGCGGAGGATTAGCCTATTGAGCCGCGGTGCCGGCAAGAGTATTTTTCAAAAAATTATTTTATTCTATAAGTGACATAATATTTGTACATATTGGTAGGGTATACTGTGGTAGGTCAACACATAATTCAATATGTGAAGATCCAATCAGAGTTGTTGTTTTAAAGGTTTATTTATTTATTTGAAAGTCAGATTGACAGAGAGAGAGGGAGGAAGAGAGAGAGATCTTCCATTCATTGGTTCACTCGCCAGATGCTGCAGTGGCTGGAGCTCAGCCAGGCCAGAGATTCCTCCCGGGTCCCCTGTGCAGGCAGCAGGGTCCCAAGTATTTGGACCATCCTCTACGGCCTTCCCAGGCGCAGTGGCAAGGAGCTGGACTGGAAGTGGAGCAGCCGGGACTTGAACTGGCGCTCTGACACAGCATGCGCTGATGTATGGTGTTGTAGGCAGTGGCTTAACCTGCTGTGCCACAGCTCTGGCCCCCGGGGTTTCCGTTTTGTTTTGTTTTGTTCTACAGCAGTAGATCAATCACTTCACTCTTCAATGGACACTGACGCTGCTGTTGAAATTGACGGCGGCAGCCTCCGGAGGATTTGCACAGCCGGCGATAGAAGCGCGCACACTGGTGAGAAGCTGGAGTTCGGGGAAACCAGGAACAGTCGGCTCTGCAGTCAGCTCCGTTTCCGTCCCCACCGCCACACAGGCTGCTCGGCTTCCTGTCAATCGTGTGTTCTGCGGAAGTTGTCACCTCGCGATCGTGTCCCCACACCCGCCCCGTCACACTGAATGTAATTCCTCAGGGGGTGCCACAACGTGACTTTTTTGGAAAAATGAGGGCCTAATGATGCAAATTATTTAATTATACAATTACGAAAGAACACAGAAGCTTTAAAAAGTTCTTTTAAAACTTTCATGAGCATTTAATATTTGTACATTTTTACGGGGTATCATGCAATATTTCAGCACAGATTTATTGTAAACCGGTCAGACCAGGCAGGCAGCCTTGCCTTGCCGTTTGCTAATCTTTTCTTTCCCTTGGGAGCCTCCCAGCTCCCCTCCTCCAGTTCTCCATACAGTGTCTGTAGGTTGCTGTGAGCGACAGCCACCCACTGTGCTGTGCCGAGCCTGGCATCAGGATCTACACAAACTCCAGAGTCGGTCCTGCCTCCGGGACTTACAGACAGGAGCCTTGCAGCCTGAAGGGCCCAGAATCACAAACCGCTTGGCCAGCAAGTTTGCCAAATGTGTACTATCTTCTTGATTCAAGCTGTCATTGCTCTTAAACCATGTTATAACTTGTTTTCTCAAAAGTCTGTGGTCACCCCTCCGTCGGAGTTGTTCAGGCTTCGGTTCCGTTACTCTGCAGGAAGTTAACAGTGTTGATTGTGAGAATCGTTGGCGAAGCATCATCCGTGCTAGGTTGAATGACGATGTTGATTTCTCGGGTATGTTCTCTGCTTCTCAACACATTCATTTTTTAAAAAACACACACCCAGAATATCTTTATCCAATAGCAAACGGCACATAATTCATTTTATGCTTTCGTTTTACATGGTTGGCACACAATAGTGTTGAATACTAATAATCTCAATTTATTAAAGATTTTTAAAATATGGGTACAAAGGGTCATCTTACATACGTATTTCTGGATATTGCTTAAAATTCAACAAAATTTCAAGGAAATCCCTTCAAAACAACTGGTACAATTTTAACTCGCTTTAAAGTGCTGTGTGGTATCTTATGATGGGGATGTGCCATAATTTATTAGTCATTTTCCTGCCAACAGGGAGCAGTTCACTTCCTTTTTTTCTAAATAATGCACAAAATAAACCCCCTCTTGTGCTTGTTTCTGTACTTAGATGCTTAGGAATGGGTGATGGCCAGGGAGCATCTACAAGGGACTGTGGCCATTTGCAATGCACACACATCCTTCTGTGCTCATTCGGGACACTGCTGGACATCAACAGTGAGTTATTTAAACTTTTTCTTTCTAGTCTGATGGCTGTTAAGTGATTCCCTCACTCAGACGTTTACTGAGCACCTTCTGAAAGCCGGGCACTGTTGTTTGCACCGTGGCTACAGCAGTGGACAAAGCAAGCCACGTCCCTGGGCTCACGGAGTTGCACTGCAGAGGAGGAAGACAGATGGCAGCCACGCATGTATGTGGTAAGTCAGCGGGGGCAGGACAGGGACTGGAGGTGACAGAGGCTGGGGAGCAGTGGTGCTATTTAAGGTAGGCTGCTTGGGAAAGACATCTTGGAGGTGATATTCTGGCAGAGACCAGGGGGAAGTGTGGAACGGAGTCCCGGGGCTCAGAGATGGCCTGCTGAGGGTCTGAGCTGGTGCATGTCTGGTGTGTGGGAGGGGCGGCCAGCGGCTGCACACACTCTGCACCCTGGAGCTCCCCGAAAGCCAGTGGGCACGCCTGACATCAGGCCCACTGCCCAGGACACCTGCAGGCTGAACACCTGCTGGGACCAGGGGGAAGGACCCCCTTTCTGCTCCTGACCAGAGCCTGTTTACATTTTCTGCATTACAAAAAGTTTTTTTTCCCCATAATTGCCCTTGTCTGTTGACTTTGTATAGAGCCCATCTCTTCCAACAATTGGAAAATTGACTCCAGCTTCTTGTGTTTCTGGGTTTGTAACCATGGTAGGGAGGCTTTCTCACCCCCAGCTGGTGCGTGCGCACCCACGGGCTTTGTGGGCTTCATCTCTCTGTGTTTAAGTCTTCGGTTCATCTAGATTACATTTTTAATGTGATGTCAGATAAGGATCCAATCACACTTTCTTACAGACAGCCATTGTACCGTCAATATTTATGAAATATTCTTTTTCCCACTGAAACGAACCCTCGTTGTATATTGTAATTTTTTTTTATTTGCTGGCATCTATTTTTGGGTTCTCTGTTCAGTGCCGCTGATCTAGTCATCTGTTCCCAACTGACACCCAGTGACTTGATTGCAGGCTTGGCACGAGCTGTTATTTTGCAAGGCGAGTGTACTCCCTGTTCTTCCCCATAACCTTCTTAGCTATTCTGGGGCTTTAATATCATTCCAGTCAACTAATACTAAAAAAAAAGAGCTCTGAGATTTTCATCGAAATCAGATTTCTTTTGTATATTAATTTGGGAGAACTGACATTTTATGATACAAGTCTTCAGTCCACAAAGAATACTTGTTCAGGTCTTGGTTTCCGTCACTCAGTGAGAGACTGTGGCTTTCTTCTTTTAGATGCTGCACTTTTGGTAAAATCCATCTCTGAGCATTTGTGGCTTCTGTAACTGTTGGGAATGAAATACATTTTCCGGTTCCTACTTCCGGGTGCTTTGTCTGAGTGCCTGTAGGAAGCGCTTGCTACAAAGCGGCCTTGAGCACTCAGGAGTTTGAAAAGAAAGCCTTGGGCCGGGCACCTTGGCTCACTTGGTTAATCCTCTGCCTG